AATGCATGAAGGTAGGCTTCTGGATCATCGGTGGGTCCCATTTTAGGAATAAAATCACTGGCCCGGAGGACAGGGTTGGGGTTTGGTAGCCCTGCTGTTTGAAGCTGACTTCTCTGTAGCCTGAGTTCCTCCTCTTCTTCAACATGTTGGCTTTTCTTTGCTCCTCCACCAGAGCCTGGCTAGCCTCCATCTGGAGCTGGGTGCTTTGTGTCAGCAGCCTAGGCATTTCCTCCATTGCGTCCTCACTGGTTCTCAATTGTGCAAAGCGAATGATCAAATCACTGATGGACATTCGCTCTCACCCACCCCTCCGTATTTGGCATTCTCCACCACTGTGATGTCTTGAGAGGTCGGGATCAGCTTGTGAGGCGTGGGTGCACAAATGAAGACAACAAGCGGTTGTGTTCTAACTCAAAATAATATATTTAGAATCTTTAAACAAAAGGTAAACTTCATTCCAGCCGAAAGCCGCTACAAAAACCAAACATAAGTATCTTCCGTTTTCTTCGGGTTCGTTGTCTTTAATGTAACATATACCTCTTCTTCTTGGTGCGCTCCTGTCCTCCTCTCTCCAAACATTTCCTTCCTTGTTCCCACACCAACCTCTCCCGGGTAATCAGTCCCCTCTCTTTCAGCTGGGCCGCTGCCTTGGCCCCGGCTGCCCTGCTGACTATGGGAATTGTAGTTCATTACCCCGATGCCATGCTGGGTTCTAGTCCTTGCTGCAACCACCGGGAGGGGATGTATCTCCCGTTGATGACCCTCCCTCTCATAACATCACAGTGTGATGTGAACACATCTATTAAAACAGATGAGAGAACACTGACAAAATTAATCTGAGAGGAAGATCTCAGCCTGTCACGTAAACACTCCTATAATCTATAATCAGCCAGCAGCTTCTCGTGAAATCAGATATAATCACTTTCACAGAAACGCATTCAACCCGTACATACTGTTCATGTTTAATGCCTTCACAGTGTGGTCCGGGTATACACCAAGACCTTCTTATTTAGAATGTCTAAATAGCTTATGTCTCATTAATACATGTATGATTAATCCTTAATAACTGTTTCAGAGAGCAGGGAGAGTGTAACATTCAAAAACCTCTACTACACATTATCATGTCCTGTTTTACTTACGACATAAAAACATAAAAGCCAGAATGACTTAAATATGTTTTATTGAATTTGAAAATGGCATGAACATTCTGAATTTATAATGTAACCATATTTAATCATTGCAACCATCAAACGCTGTCCTCACTGCTATATCATAAGACATCATAATTATCAATATTAATTCAACTTTTACCACTAAGAACACAAAACATGACATCATAAAATGCTTATTGTCCATCAACCTCCTCCTGTTGGAGGAACAGACCGAGGGCCTGCTGCACACTAACTCCAGCTGCCACGATGTCAGTCACTGAAATACCTTTATAATGTTAGTACAAAAGTGTTAAGTACAAAAGTATAACATTTTAAAATACTTTTTTTTTTGTGTATTTTGGGTCACTTTAGGAAAAGTCATCACATTTCAGGCTAAAAGAATGACATTTAGGATGTTTGTACTGCTGTCAGATGTCAAAACGGGTCAAATTGACCCGAACAGTCTGTCAGGGTTAAAAGAGGTGTGAATATGATCTGTACAACTAAAGACAAGTATCAGTAAAGCTCCACCTCATCCTGAACGCAGATATAAACTGAGGACAGCACACGAGACGATCAGAGAGACGGACGGGCGGAGAGACGGACGTGCGGAGAGACGGACGGGCGGAGAGACGGTCGACCTGGACATCATGGATCACCTGTTGATGCTGCTGCTGCTGATGTGGAGCTCAGGTAGGACTCTGCTTTAGAGACGATGTGCTTTATTTATATATTGCTGTTGGATCGTTAAATCAGAGAACAAACACTCGGGTCAGCGACAAATAAGTCTTTTCAAATTGCAATATAATGCACATTTCTGAGTGTGGAACAATGTGTTTGAATAAGTCTCATTTGTTCAATAACTTTTCAAAGTGGTTAAATGTATTTTTAACAGTATTTTTTAACATCACCACATATTTGTAAATATATATATATCTATATTTCCCTACTATTCATTATGACTAAAGTCTTTGTTAAGTATCCCTCAGAGTGCCTACAGCGCCGAACACACACTTATTTTATGAATGTGTTTTGTATTTATAATAAATTAGGATTATTACATTCTATTGTCCAGGTCTTTGGTATCTTCAGCATCCGAGTTTACATTTAAACAGAAAAATAATGATATAAATATGGATTGTGATTAAGAACAAAAACATGTTTGAATTTGATTTAAAAAAATACTTGAATGATTTTGGAACTTGTTACAAAATATTAAAAAACATGTTGAATCATTTAAGATCAACATTTCAGGTACACACGCACACACACACATACGCGCACACACACACACACACACACACACACACACACACACACACACACA